TTCAATGGACAATGACAAACTAAAGAATTATAACAAAGAAATAAATTTACCTTGTTTGAATGTAAAAAATATATGAAAACTTGTTTTGCTGGTTGATGTTGCCCTTTATATGTATATAAATCCAGTAAAGTAGACTCAAAAACAAATGTGTAAGTTATTTTGATGTAGAAGTTTAATCATTGAAACATGTTCATTTAAAATACCCTAGTTTAATAAAACGGTGGTTGAAACTGATTATTTATTGATTAATCTGCTTGATAAAATGGTTGTTATTGAGCCCATTGGGGCTCTGTGACCTGAAAAATAGTCAATTGTATGGCAAACTTGATACGTCTTTGTATATCTTTATCTGCCAGACCACGCATTGCATGTGCCCCATCTTTACCAAAAATATCCCACTGGTCTTCAGGAGCAGATGTTGCTTATTTTGCCAAATGGTTCTAGGCAGATGCTGCTGACTCAAGAAATGGACTATGTGATTGTTTCCTCTTCTTTGAGCTTGAAATAAAACTACATTCACTTCCTGTATCTTCATTATCAATAATTGAATCATTTAATTGGTTTTCTCTGTCTTGTGCAAAACGTTCATCAATAGCATTTGTAAATACTTGATGATTGTGTGATATAACTTCATCCACGAAACTGCACTGGTCAAAAAACTTCCATTTGATACATAAACTTCACTAGCCCCACTGCCTGTACTTTGGCTTTTTCTTATTTTTCCAACTTCTTCACTATAAAATGTGCTTAAGCTCTGTATCTTTGCTAAAAGTTTAAGCCAGAAATTTTATTAGAATAAACTTATTTGAATCCAAATAATAGCATATAAAGCTACAGATGGATATGTTTTCCTTTACCAATTTTGGCATGCGAACAAGCTGAGTTAGAAGTTTGAACACATTGCCATGTAAGCAGGACATGACATTTTTTCTTTGCGATTTAATGCAAACCAGAGAGCATAAACAATGTTTATACATCACTAAAATGCAATTCTTACGACTCCATTGTAATCTTATCACTCACCTTTGATGCTTGGCAAATCAACGTTTGGCAGTTCAACTTTGATTGCTTGCAGTATTTCCTGGTAGTGTGCATTCTTTATATTTCTGTTTTTGTAATGCTCACTTATGGTATTCCAAATACACTCTCTTTCTCTGACAGTATCGAGCAACAAACTGACCACTTGATCGCGCCAGTTTGTCTTAGGGATTTACTATTTGTACAGCAGTTCATGTCGTGACGTCACTTGTGCCGAGTTCAATGTACAATATACCGGTATATATATATATATATATATAAGTTTGAAAATTTGTAATCCAGGCATTTAATAAATGAAATCACTTTAAATCCGGAGAAACTTTTATCTTTCATTTATATATATATATATAAATATACAAAGTGTATAAACAATGTGCCCTCCCGGCTATCACCAAAGTGCAATGGTGACTCCTGCACTTGGGACACAGGACGTACGGTTTTCAAACTTATACGGTTTTCAAACTTATATATATATATAATATATATATAGTTTGAAAATTATAATCAGGCATTGAATATATAAAAGAACAAAAACAACACCAAAACTAAAACACTACACTCTAATATTATTAACACCAACCATATTAACAACACACCAAAACCCATGGCAACGCATTTCACCCCATCCAATCACATTAATCCACCCACTAATCCAATTAGACGCTCTAAACGTCTCCAAGCTAATAAGCACGTGTAAATAAATATCCTCATTCTGATGAAGGCTCGAAGCAACGAGTCGAAAGCTCAATAAAAATCATTTAAAAATCCGGAGAAACGTTTTATCTTTTATATATATATATATATATATATATATATATATATAATTATGATTTATGATTTATTATGTATTTTATGATTTATGATTTATTTTTATTTATGATTTATTTTCTTTTCTATATATATATATATATATATATATATTAATAATTTAATACAATTTATCAATTAAATAAGTTGAAACTTTAAGTTTCATGCAACAAGCAATCATCAGGCAACTGATTGCTTGTTAACTGTTAAATTGTATTAAATTATTAATATATTAAATGCTCTACAGTTGTCTCTTGTATTGAACACTCTTTATTCAATGAAACGAAATATAATTGATATTATATATATATACATATATAATATCAAGTATATTTGAATAAAAAGTGTTCAATACAAGAACACTCCAATTATAGTGAACACTCCAAACAGAGTGCTCCAAACAAGAACACTCCAAACAGAGTGCTCCAATTTTCAAATATATATATATTTATATATATTCACATATATATTACAACAGAGGGTTAATGGAGCCAGGGTGCTCAAACATCCATCAGGAAGTGAGCTTTGCATAATAGCTAAATAAATATACATATATTTATTTAATGTTAATTGTAAACTGAATTATATATAATACATATATATAAAATTTATATATATATTATATATATATTATATATTATATATTATTTAAATTTATATATTTATATATATATAATTCAATTTACCCCATTGGAAATGCCGCACACTTCTCCGTGTGGGTGGTTTGTGTGTGCTTGCTGGTTTGGAACTTTGACAAAAAACCTCTTTATTTTTTTAATTTGCGCTTCATTGTGTTCTTTATCGATTTTTAACTTGTTCAAGAGCGATGGTTTAATGACTCGTTCCATCTACAATAATATGGACACAACGCAATTAGTGTTGCGACTGGCTTTAAGATGATTAGTTCCTTTAAGCAACGTCATATACATTGTTAAAAATTTGTTGAGTAAATTTGATTTTTCTTTGTTTAACTCCCACAGTCTCACCTGGTGTTTGTTGTTACAGGATGTTGGAACGATGTAGTCTGGATACACGGTTAACTCGTAGCGCAGACGAACGAAGCGCAGACGAACGAAGCTTGAAAGATGTCGATCCAGCAACTTCGTATTTTTGTAAAAACTCGTTCAAGTTAGTCTCTCCATCAATCCAGCCTGTGAAATATTCACCATTCTCTACGACCTCTTAAATATCGGCTTATAACCTGTCGAATATCTCGATTGTTTGCATTATTTAAATTACCCGCCATTATGCAAATGATCGCGCAAAAATAAACTTGAAATTGATTTAATTTCATCGCTCAAAAGTAGTTTTCGTGTTATTACGCAATCGGCACAAGTGACGTCACGACATGAACTGCTGTACAAATAGTAAATCCCGTTTGTCTTATTACCCGCCATGTGTTGTTTTATGTGAAGCCTGGGATCTACTTCGCTCCTTGACATGTGCCACTTTTTATTTGACAGCCATCTACACGACCCATTTTTTGTATGTGATAATTTTTATATGTGATAAGTAGACAATAAAAAGTATTAAAAAAAGGAACTTACTCCCATCAACTTGAACAAATAATTTTGTGACTTCGACAAAAATTCGTAAAGTTATCTATCAACAAAAGTTAGCTGCCAGTTCGAAATTTGTCGTTTTAGCATTCTATTGTACGAGTCAGTACGACTACGTCACAACATTGAGTTTCAGACGCAAACTAAATGGAAATGACAAATGAGAAATCGATTTATGAATTATAAATACTAGAATGATAACTAAGGTGCATTGCATTTTTTATATCAATGTAATTGATACATGTTCCTAAATGTAGATCGTCCAGGTTGGTATAGTCATGAGAAAAACTGTTTTTGTTGTTGTTGACTGACGTTTCGACAACTTTAGCGGTAGTCATTTTAAGAGTCAAATGAAGAGTAAACGTCAAGTTAGCCGTATTTGTTATCTGGTTCTTACGTCATTGTATTGTGTGTACAGGAAATATGTATTGTCATTGTGAATTAGTGTGAAGTGAAATATTTTTATTTTTAGTTGTGATGTGTGGGTGTCAATTGTGTATTGTCATTGTGAATTAGTGTGAAGTGTAATGTTTTTAGTTGATCGTTTGTTTGTATTGTGAATAAGTCGTTTGTAAGGTGCCGGTAATTGCTGTGATCTGTTCAGGGTGGTTTTTTCCAAGTTGCTATACCAACTTTCTAATATAAGCCGTTGTTTATAGTCAGTACTGTAAGTAATGCATTTTGCCTAGTCCCATTCAATGTTGTGCCTTGTGATTCGGTGATGTTCGGCAATGTGATTAGTTTTTTCTTGCTTTTTTTTGTATCTCGTTTGTGTTCAGTCTAATGTTTAAGTTCCTGCCAGTTTCCCCGATATAGGAGGCGTGGCAATCGGAGCAGTTTATTTTGTACCAGTGCACCTTGTCGTTTTTGGGTTGTTCTTTGTCCTTTATGTTCGTAGTTATATTATTTCCCCAATTTTGGAAAACGAAGGGCCGACTTGACGATACCTGTCGAATCTGAAACATTAAATGTAATGTAAGCCTTAACGTTTAGGAATATATTAAACAACAATAACATTAACATAGCACCTTACCATTTCTTCCAAAATATTCGCCATTCTCAAGTTTCAGTTCTTTCAAAGCTTTGTCCAATTTAAGGCAAATAAATGTCTTCGCAGGTTTGGCAAAACTAACTACATCACCCTCACTACCGTCTTCATTACTCTCACTTCCATTTTTTTTATCACCATTTTTATTACTCTCACTACCATTTTTATCCATTCCATTCCATTCCATTCCATTTCCTTCCATTCCATTTCCATTCCATTCCATTTTATTATCCATTCCATTCCACATTTTATTCCTTCCATTCCATTTCCTTCCATTTTATTTCATTTTATTCCTCCTTCATTTTATTATCCACTTCATTTTATTATCTCCTTCATTTTAACTTCACTAATTTTTTTATCTCATCACTATTATATTTTCATTTTTTATTCTCCTTCCATTTTCCATTTCCATTCCATTCCATTACCATTTTATTCCTTTCCCTACCATTTCTCCATTCCATCCTTCCATTTTCTCTCCTACCATTTTATTAACCATTCCATCATTCCTTGTTCTTACATTTGGATTTTGTCCATTTCGTGGAGTTCATTTTCCCGAACAACTCTTCGAAAAAGCTCGTCATTTGCATTTTTCAAATTTAATTGAAAACTTTTCATGTATTTTTTAAGGCACCTGTTGAAAACTGTTTCACCAAAAGAAATAAACATGATGTCTGTTTCTTTATCGAACCGTAAAACCGCATTGCGGCCATGGCCAAGTTGCACCTCACTGTCCTTGTTTGCTTTTTTAGGCGCTTTTTTAGGAGCTTTACGTGGCAAATCAATGTATTTTGAAGCTTCGCATTCAAATTTTCCATCAATCTCTTGCTTTATAATTTCATTCGATTTTTCTTGACTATCATCAACCATGACATATAAGTGAGGAACCGCCATCTTCTTGTTTCGGCGAGCTAATCCATATACTTCCCACTAAGCCACGAGCAACTTAAACAAGAAACGATAACTATATATTGTCTAAAAACTATTTTACGTAATGTTCCGACATGCACAGGTCAACATACATAATCGATATCCCATGAAAGAAAAATTACCTTTGGAGAGCCTTGTGAACGTCAGCTTTAATATTCTTACTTTTGTCTAGAAGTTTATGGAAGTTGTCGTCATGATTTGCTTCTAAATATCATAAAAATATAATTGATAACTTTGGTGCACCAACATTAACTACGATGAAACTTCCATAAGATAAGACATAAATAAGACTAAAAATTGACTAATCATATACATGGGATCATAAATAACTTTGCTCTGGATTTCTGGTTTTGGTCATTGTAGTATAGTTATTAAGTAATTAATTATTAGTATTTCGTACGTCATATTACGTATATTATAATCAAGTAAAGATCTGTATAAAAGTAATATGACAAAACAATATTACATCTGGCGACAAAGATTATTAATGGACGAAGAAATATGACTTGATCCTGAGAAAGATACTACATTTCGAACATGACAGCTTTGCCTAGCTTCCCGACGTTCAACCTAGAAGAACCAGACCTTAGAAAAGCTTGGGGAAAATACGTATCAAGATTGGAGAATTTGTTGTTGGCAATGAACATCACAAACGCCGCAAGAAAGAAGGCGATGCTCCTGGACTATGTCGGTGAAGAAGTTAATGAGATATTCGAAACTTTAGAAATTGACGAGCCAGATAGAGAAGAAGATGTATTTAGAAAAGCGGAGAAAGCGTTACGAAATTACTTCACTCCACAGAAGAATATAGAATTCGAAGTTTATAGGTTTCGTCAAGCGAATCAACTCCCAGGAGAAAAAATATCCGCGTACTATACGAGATTGAAACAATTGGCCAAATCCTGCGAATTTCACGAAGAAAGCAGAGAGATAAAAACTCAGATCATACAAAATGGTTCGTCTTCAAAATTGCGGAGAAAAGCGTTAGCAGACCCAGAAATAACGATTGAGAAATTAATACAAATGGGAAAAACAATAGAGATGTCAAAAACACAAGCAGAAGGCATCGAAAGCACGAATCGAATTTGGCATAAAAGAAAGCAGTTCAAGGCGCTCACGGATAAAAGCTCAAATGCTTCCGAATATTCATCGAAGATCAAATGCAAATTTTGTGCTCGTGAACATCGTCCAGGGAAAGCAAATTGCCCGGCATATGGAAAGAAATGTCGACAGTGTTTAAAGTGGAACCATTTTCAAGTTTGTTGCTATGACAATCGAAGAGGCAAAGAGCGGATGCAAGACAATTTTCAAAGTTCTCGCGCTGAATCAACAAAGCGAAACGGACAGATAAAACGTAATCAAGTAAGACCTTGTCAAGTGAATACGGTGCAAGAAATAACGTCCGAATCAAGTATGGAAGATGATTATGTATTTTCAACGTTGACGGCGCAACAAAAGCTGCCGAAATTTAAAGTTAAGATAAATGGTACTCCTGTGTCAGTCATGGCAGATACCGGTTCCAGCGTAAATCTCTTGGATGAAGTGAATTTTAACAAATTGAAGAAAAAGCCAATATTACAGGAAGCAAATGAGAAAATCTTTCCTCATGGGTCGAAAAAACAACTATCAATTAAAGGAAAAATGTCAGTGTGTGGTCGAAACCGATAAACTATATGGGTTGGAGATATTTTTTGTTGTTAATGGGAATACGGGTGGCTTGATAAGCTGGAAAAGTTCTCAAAAATTGGGCCTGGTACAAATAATTGTATCCATAGAAGGCAGTACAAAGTCTGAGAAGGAAACCGTTAAAGAAAAGGCACAAGAAAAAGTGAGAGAAGATACCGAAAAAGTGAGAGAAAATACCATAATGGAAGAGCTAATTAACAAATATCAAGAAGTCTTTCAAGGACTAGGAAAATTGAAATATTTTCGAGTTCATCTACACGTAGATAAGGACTTACAACCTGTCGCACAACCTCATCGTCGGGCAATTTTGGCAAAACTAACTACATTACCCTCACTACCGCCTTCATCCTTTCTTGCAGCGCGAAAATCAGACAGCAATCGAAAATTTGCTTTTTTAGGAGCTTTGCGTGGCAAATCAATGTATTTCGAAGCTTCCCATCCAAATTTTTCATCAATCTCTTGCTTTATAATTTCATTCGATTTTTCTTGACTATCATCAACCATGACATATAAGTGAAGAAATGGCATCTTCTCGTTTGGGCCAGCTGTTCCATACTCTCCGTGAAGCCACGTGAAGCTTAAAACAAATATTTAAGCTCATATCAAGATAAAAATTCGTTTTTGTAATACTGAAAATTCAAGTTGAATTTCTCCAAGAACTACATTTAGAGTATTTCACCTTTCAAGTACATTACACACATCAGCTTTAATGTTACTATGTTCTTCAAAAAATTTACTTTTGAAGATTTTAATGTGTTCATCCAAATTATCTTCTGCATCTAAACACATGACAAAGAAAATAAAAGTGTATATCACATGTTACACTACTCAGCTTTTGTAAAATATGAATAAACAGTAGGTCCACAAACGGATAAAAGACGAAAAATGTCGGTCTGACTAAAATTTTGGGATGTTTGATCAAATAAAGATACAATAAAGTTGGTCCCATGACGTAGAACACTCCCCCTCAAACCTTTCAGCGAGCCATAATTTATTTAGAATTTGCATTTACGTAACCATTTATTGTATGTTATTCGGTCTTGCAAATATTACATGCATGGTTATGCTAATACCGTGTGTTTGCAAAAAGACAGTTGAACCAGTGAGTTGAACTACCTTAGTTTGTGGTTTCTAATCTTTTGGTTGGAAAAATGACAACGTGGGTTTTATTGCAAGTTTTTCCGTAAAACTAATAATTTACTTTTTCAGAACACATAATAGATATCTCTTGAAACAGATTCTCAATATAAATATTAGAGCCCAACAAATAATTTTAAAAAGAGTCATAAGCAATTTGGTTTTATGAAATTTATTAAAAGAGTGACGTTTCGTCTTTACTCAAGACGTCTTCAAACTAATTAGGAAGTTAACAAGAATATAAATATATATAGAGCTAATTACATAGTTTGAGGTATCAGGTTACTGTGAATGTGTTAAGCCTAGGCCACACTATCGTCCATATCGACGAAAATCAGAACGAAAACTGCCGCAACGAAAATTTTTGAACGAAAACTCGACGAAAATTTCGTTTTCGTGCATATTAGAAGAGTTGAACTTTTGACCTTTTTCGTTAACGAAAACGCATAGTATTGGCTAATAATATCAGACTTTGTACTCAAACATGGCGGAGTGGCAAAAGGTTTTGATAAATCAGGTCTAATAGACTTTCTAAGATGTGTGCCAACTTTAGTAATGTGAGGTCTAATTAAATCCAAAATGTAGTCAAAATTTGTCGTCGTCATTCGCAAGTATTTTATGTGTCTATTTTCATTGTTCGGCTCTCGTAATTCTTTAATCAAGTTGTTAAATAGTCCAAGACGATCACGTCGTTTATTAATTGGATGAATCCAGTATCGACGTTTGCTGTTGCTTGTTTTCAACTTTAAAGGCAGTAACTTTTTCTTAAGAAGAAGTAATCTTTTTCTTTTAGAGATCGCCATTTTTTCTAATCCGTCAAAAATGCCGCTTGCTTATTGGCCAAAAAAGTTTTGGCTTTGCAAACATGCTTGTAATTTTTCGTCGTGTCTGGCATGCATTTCGCGCACGAATTTTCGTTTCGTTTTCGTTTTCGTCAATATAGACGATAGTGTGGCCCAGGCTTAAGTGTGATGTGATGTATTGTTAGGGTGAGGTGTTGAGACTAAAAAGCTTAAGAGGGATGGAGCTGCCTTGGGTGTTAATGAAGGTTTTAGTTTAGAGATGATCAGGCTTTCGCGGATCATGAGGTCGAATGTGTCGAAGCAGGATGAGGTGATATTAAAATCGTCTGGCAATGAGGGTAGTCGGAGGAGTTACTATGAGAAAGAATACTTCACATTAATGGGTTGGTATAGCGTTTTCCGGTCAAAGGAGAGATCCCCAAGTGTTTCGAGATTCTGGTGTGTAAGTGGCGTGTAAGTGGTGTGTAAGTGGTGTGTAAGTGGCGTGTGGTTTGACCCACATACGACGCGGAACAGTATCGACACGTGTATAAATAAACAACACCAGATCTCAGAGACTTGGGAATTTTATCTTTAACGGGAAAAAATGAAGAGATTCGTGTGGGGGTACGAAAGACGAATCTGACATTGAGATGAGGGAAAGCAGCGTTGTAGAGACGATTGATTTATGTGCGGATTTGTAACGAGTGACAGCCGGTGAATGGGAGACAGAAATACACTATTTTCTTTGGGACACTAAGGACAGGTGGTTTCTGTTCGAATTTTGTAGCAAGGAAACGACGGACAATGTGGTCGAACATACTAGTTGGAGAGCAATTGAGTTTGAGTAGTTTTCTGGTGGTTTCAATTTGGCATGAAAAGTCTCATAACTAGAGCAGAGTTTGAAAAAGCGGTGTAATAGGCCAGAGATTAAGTTGCGTTTGTAAGAAAGTGGGATAAAGCTGTTAAAGTTTGTGAAAAGACCGGTGAATGTGGGTTTACGAGGTGGTGAATTTGTCGTTTGAGCGGTAAATGTCAATGTCTAAAAACGGTAGTCGTCCATTATTTTCCGTCTCAGAGGTAAAAGTGATGTTGGGGTGTTGATGGTTGATGTAGTCTAAAAGAGAGGAACGTGATCAAGTGATTTAAAAAGGAGGAAGCAATCATCGACGTATCGTCTGTAGAGAATAGGTTTGAATTTGTGGGGACAGTTTTTCAGCCAGTTTTGTTCATGGAAAGACATGAATATGTTGGCAAAAAGGGGGCCAAGGGGACCACCCATAGCAACACCATCAATTTGGTGGTATAAGCGGTCGTTAAACATAAATTGGCAATTTTAACAGATAGCGTTAGTAGATTACTGAATTCGGTGCGAGTGAGTCCATGAAATTGTTTAAGGTTAGTAAAAAGGTCACAGATGATATTGATTGTTTCATGTAGGGGAATGTTGGAGAAAAGAGAAGTTACGTCAAAACTAGCCATAACAACTTTGCTAGAGTTGATGCTGGTGTTAAGTATTTCTTGTACGAAGGAGAATGAGTCCTTTATCATGAAAGAGTTTGTGGAGATGGGTGTAAGCAGCGGAATGAAAAATTTAGCTAGTTTATATGAGTAGTGATTTATAGAAGATAGAATGGGACGTAAGGGAATGGTTGGTTTGTGAATTTTTGGAAGTCCATATAGTATACCTATGCGTGAGCCAGTCGGATAGAGTTTATTGTAAGTTTTTTCATTAATTGATTTCGTTTTCCTGAGTTGTTTGAGTAATGATTTCACCTGGGTTTCACGTTGTACGATGGCTTTCACAGGGTCTTCGTTTATGAGTTCAAATTTTGAGGAATCGGAGAGGATTTCTGACATTTTGTTATTGTAGTCGGTTTTATCAAGGATGACAACGGCATTTCCCTTATCAGGTTTCATGACAACAATGCTATTGTCATTCTTCAGAATAAATCCTCTCCGATTCCTCAAAATTTGAACTCATAAACGAAGACCATGCGAAAGCCACCCTACAACGTGAAACCCTGGTGAAATCATTACTCAAACAACTCAAGAAAACGAAATCAATTGATATACACGTTTTTGGGAACTTTTGATAAAATACTGTGTACATCCTTATTCGCGGTAACCTTTCCCTGATTTGAACAGTCATAAACAAGCAGATGATGGGGCAGCAAATACCTATATGATTCGACATCTGAATGCAGTTACTAGACCCAATTCAAAGAGAAGAACCAAAGGCTTGATTGGTATATTGTGTAGCTCATTCTTGTCCTTTAGGTTGACTAATGGCTGAAGTGGCTCACTTTAATCTACCATAAAATCTTTGAGCGAGACTAGGTTTTACTGTCAGAACGGCAGCGATCGATGCCTTTTTAAAAAATAGTATGCTGTGTTGCACGCAGATAGCAGTATTTGATATGAACTGGAGCTCAGGTTTGACAAATAAAGTTTGATCTTAGGCAAATATTGAACTTGTGATAGGTGCATATAGGGGTTTTATGTTATGTACCTATCACACAGACTGAAGAAAGTTCAAGAACGAAGTAGAAATTGACTTAAGAAGGATAACAATATCAATACTGTCAGACTTAGTAAAGACCGCAAACGAGCAAAATTTATGATAAGATCAAATGCGAATTATGGATATCACTTGAATTAGCACGATAAGCGACATTATGAAAACGTACGTCCTTGTATGTGTAGTAAAGCTCATAAACTTCTTTGTACCCATTTAATGTATACAACAAAGGTCCATATTTGACTCTTCAGAGAGTGAAAACATCTCAGTCTGACATTGAACTAGAATTCGTAGCTTGTAAATAGTACGACCAATCGTTTAGGTTATTAGTTAAGTTCGTTCGTTTTGTGCAATGTATTGATTTTTGAACAATACTTGCACTTTGTGTATTGAAATGAAGTACAACTAAGTTATAAAGGTTTCATGACTTTCTCCATTTTCAATGTTTGTACTAGACTCCCTAAAGCTTCAAAAAATAAGGGTAGAGTATATACTATACTCGTCGACTTTAACCCCACCCCCAAATTTAAATCTGTTTCTACGCCTATGTATCAATCCTATGTATATCTATGAAACACCGAACCATTGGCGTTGTGGCTGGGGTACAGCCAGAGGGGAATACCCCACGAATGATTTGAGGGGAGACACCACTACCAGAAGGCATATGGGGGCCACCAGAACGCATCTTTACAAACTCTTCTAAATTTATTTCAGGAAACAAAATTCAAACAAATAAAACCACTGAACGGCGGAACGGATCAGAAAAAAAGGCGGACGGATCCATTTCTGATGAGATTCACCAAAATTGACCAATATTATTTCGCATTGTAATACAATTTGTAATCAGAATGATACAATATTTTGATCTATTCATATCCAACACTTTGTCGCGTTTTTGCTCAAAATGACAAGGAACATATAATAAACAGGCACCGCGGAGGATCGATAATTGAGGGGGGAGGGGCTAATATTTATATATTCATATATGCAGGCTTAAGATCTTTTGAAATCCATTGTTTTCTAAGGATTACAACATGAATATATGAATATGAGCCCCCAATTATCGATCCTCCGCGGTGCCTGAAACTTGTATGTCGAAGGTTCATTTGAATTGTCAAAAGCTCTTTTTTGATGACGACATTAACTTAAAACTGACTTATTTGTGTTGTTCAACACGTAAACTTTGTGAACTATAGCTTTGGAAAATCATCCAGTTTGCACAAATGCTTCTTAAGCTATTTTTATAGTTATTATGGATATTATTATTATTTTACACAAACAATTTCATGAAGGGATTTTGAATCCAAAATGCTTAAAAATATTGGGCGCATGGAGAAGTAAAATATCCTGAGATGACGAGATAACAAGGAAAAGCATAATCAAGGAGTATATGTTGAATGTTAGAAAGTATATCACTACGTAAGGAAGATACAATTTATAAGTGCCTTACACATAAATTTGATAATATAACTTACTTTCATAGTCGGGGTAATATTCCGTTTCTTCACCTTTAGATTCGTAACGTTCTGTCATTTGAAAAGTCACCAAACGTGTGACAGTATTTTAGTCAATAAAATTCGACTCAGAAAAAACCTTAAAGATATATCTATAGTTGGTGCATAAAGACATAAAATCTCTAGACGACGATTATCGAGGTAAAAGATCAATAAAGTGTATGTATGTCCTACGACAAAATGTTGAAAAACATATCCATATATTTGCATATATAGCTTACACACAATTTACGAGGGTCTCGCTTCAATTTGATTGTATATAACTTACCGTCATCCATGAAGTAACTTTTCATTCGTTGAAGGCAACTCTATAAATTCTGTATTATCCAAGGTGAATATCGAACTTAGGAAATTCTGCAATCATAAATACATATTTATCAAATCTTCGTCTTTCTCACTCGTTGAAATGAAAAGATTAAAATAGAATTCTTGCACAGTTTTAATATTCAATTATTAAGGTGTTTAAATTACATATAACATCATAACCTTCAACGCCGTACGCCAACAAAGCAACTTTCCGTGATTATTAGCCTTAACATAGATGAAAATTTATAAAAATTAAACATACGCAGGAAGAAAATTTTCAGAAATTGTACTCATCCTTGTTAAACGTTACTTGTATCAATGTTTTAAAACATCCAACTGTATGAAGTTAATCGTCAAAATCTACGATAATCATTTGATGCACGCCAAATAAGGGTGTTTTTACAAATTATTGTCGAAACAAAATATTTATCATAATAGTAGCAAAGTAGCTACATCTTAGGGAAAGCTTATTATTCACAGATTCTAAAAAATATGATTACCCAACAAAACAACAAAATCACAAAAAATTGTCACAGCAACAAGGTAGTGATAACAAGGTATAGAAAAGACTACTATCGTCAAGTTTCATCTTTATAAACTTCATTTAAAACCTATTAAGTGCAATGGTTTACTTTCACCAATTATGATGAAGCTATTACAATTAGGGACACCTTCAACTCAGTAAGGCAATGGGGTCTTTGTCAATGTGAACGTAATTGGAAGTTACTTTTTTCCGTACAAATCTCTACCAAGAAATTTAAAAGCATAAATCAAAACACAATCCGCTTATAGTAATCACAGCAAATGGAACGTTTTATAGTATAACTGTTTAATGTTTGTGATTAACCATTGATTGCAGTCGACTAGATTTAAAAAAAAACACAGGAGATTCTAAATTTGGACAACCGAATCAAACAAGGCGCTACCATGCAGCACCTAATGAGAAGAAAAAAAACCTTAAGGGTATTGGCATGTAAGATATACAGTATTAGAATTTAGAATAGTCCGTTCATTTAAAATGCAAGAATTCATTGAAAAATGTGATATTACGCGTGTCAATGACACACTTCATTGCATAACTATTTAAGATGCAACTATTTAAAAGAACAAGAAAAAAATCTATGTTCATTCGATACTAGCGATACCGAGAATTTGTCTATTTTTATTTTCCTATTATCATTCTAATCGAATTCTTCCTGGTAAATGTTCAAATGGTAAATGATATTACGCGTGTCAATGAAACACTTCATTGCATAACTATTTAAGATGCAAATATTTAAAATAACAAGAAAAAGATCTTTTTTCATTCGATACTAGCGATACCGAGAATTTGTCTATTTTTATTTTCCTATTATCATTCTAATCGAATTCTTCCTGGTAAATGTACAAATGGTAAATGATATTACGCGTGTCAATGACACACTTCTTTGCATAACTATTTAAGATGCAACTATTTAAAATAACAAGAAAAAGATCTTTGTTCATTCGATACTAGCGATACCGAGAATTTGTCTATTTTTATTTTCCTATTATCATTCTAATCAAATTTTTCCTGGTAAATGTACAAATGGTAAATGATATTACGCGTGTCAATGACACACTTCATTGCATAACTATTTAAGATGCAAATATTTAAAATAACAAGAAAAAGATCTTTGTTCATTCGATACTAGCGATACCGAGAATTTGTCTATTTTTATTTTCCTATTATCATTCTAATCGAATTTTTCCTGGTAAATGTTCAAAATTATTTTTTGTTAACTGTAACTAATATGAAACTGAAAGATATGTGTTAAAAACAGAAATTGGGGATTTGTACATGGAACTAAAGACGGTTACGCTCAAAAAAACTAAATTGAATTTGTGAAGTCTTTTGTTTTGTATAAAGGTAATAACAAAATGTTAAGAGTTTTACAATTAGGCATTGGAAGTTCAATTTAATCGCCAAGAGACTAACTTTCTATCTTATAGAAAATCCAATACAAACTATTGGTGATTGAATCAAACGCCTGACGCGTGAAATGTTCTTAAAATGGTTATTTGGGTATTGAAAGAATTCACAAATGTAATCTAGAATAGCAACGTGTAGTTTTCATCCAGTAAAGAACATGTCACAACTATGTTTGTAAAAATTCTCTCGCCTTTAAAAGTTTCAACAACCTCCACTTCTTCACCGTTTTTGCTTCCGTCTGACAGCACGAATGCCTTCTTCTTCAGCTCATGACCTTGAGAGAAATAAATATTTCTTTTACAATGTAGCATTTCAAATTCAAAAGATCATAGCTGGAAAAACATGCTTTATGGAGATTTCTCTAAGCAGATTTCGTAAATGATTGCATTTCAGTATGCTCACAATCGTAAAGTTGAAATGTGTTTGAAAAAAGTATCCTCTACAAATAAACAGTTATTACAAATAAACATTAATTCCAATAAATCTTGCGTAAATCTACCAATAGCAAAACACAAATTGTTTATGAATGGACTGTTTCTTAAATTATTCAACTGGAATTTTCTTTATATTATACTGGATGATGGCTTGGGCAGCAAGAAAAAATCCTTACTTTATCGTTTCTGTCACCATTTTGTTGACCTTGCAACTGCTCATGAAAACACTTCGGACATTCTGTGAATTTGACAAAATGCATTAACAAAAATAGGTACGCTTGCGTACACGTGGGAAGCCTGTAAAACAGGAGACGCATAAAGATTGAAACAAGTTGAGTTGCAATCACTTTAACACAGGATAAGAACTTTGTAGTAGGCATAAATTTAACAGTTCAAAATTGTTATGAGACCATCCGGCAATTGCGATGAAATATGAGTTATGTTTGATCCCATTTATCTATGCTTCAAGACCTGGTATTTAAATTCTGTTTAAACGATATTACTATTTTGAAACATTGAATTCATTGATTGACAACTTGTTTTATCATGATACTTTGAACTCCTGATACTAACAACAGAATAGTTATTATTTGTGGGAGATTGAAAAAGGTTTAAACTTTTTGTAAATAAGAAATATGATAAAAAGGCAGTGCATAGAATGTCATCACAGACATGATGTCTGCCACTCTCTTGTTTTGCATAGCCTAATTTCTTGGACAAATAAAATAACTCACCTTAAATGTTGCAAACAGACCAGTGAGACCTGTCCCAGAAAATTGTACAGCTCAATATTAGTGCAAACTAGATAGACAGTAATGAGTAATTGTAAATAAACATTAAAAATACTCATTGCAGATACATTTTCATTCAGTGACTGTATCCAAATTATGAAAAATATGCATGAATTTAGCATAATAATAATGGAATCCAAAAATTATATACTTTTTCAGAGCCCATTTACAGATAGTTGAGGTGTTTTTTGATTGCATAACAAAATAATGTGTTAATGAAAACTATTAGTAAGAAATAGCTTTAGGTGCACTTATGTAAGGAATTCTCTTTTTAATAATACAAAAATCAGGTGCACCTTTACGTGAAAATATGATCTTTGGCCGACTCTGGCCAGCAAGGGTGCAAATTTTTCCAAAGTATTTTTTCACAACAGAGGAATGTCTTCAGGAAAATAGGCCTGAAATTAAATAAGCAAATACTTGATTTAATAAAGTTAGATATAATTACTGGTAAACAAAATAATAGCACATAATAAATGCTTAAAATTTCTCAACTAAATAAGTCTTCATTTTCAACATATCACAAGTGCTTGATACCTTCATATCAATCACCAACAATTTACACATAAATTCATTCACTTTTGAGCTTCAAAGAAATAATCACAAACAAATCCTAAAACACTTCTCCAATGTTTTTCCAGAAATATATCCCACCATTACCCATGACATCATTTTTGTCTAACCTTGGACATTCTTTTACTGGACTATTTAATGTCATGGCATTTTTCATTTTATCTTAGTATAATTGCATTAATCATGTCAGATGATACCACAAATAAAAATAAGCCTTCACTTTGTAGCCCTTGTTCAAGCTTTCATTTAATATCTTACTGCAACTTATCTCACTATATCTCATTCAAATTTAATTATAAATTACATACTTGAATAATTACAAGCTAATATGCACAAAACCAACAAAAGAGCCTGAAGGAGAAATTTTATCTATAACCATTAACCAATACCTGCATAAAACTATTTTCATTTAAGTTCATTTTGTAAATATTTATATTTTTGCTAACATTTAATAAAAATGTTTCCATTTGAAAAAAACTCAAAACATTCATCTTACTTGTCCCCAGTTACTTTCTTCAGTCGATAAAACTTATTATTTTCCATGGCCTGATGTCTTTTGAACAGCCACAAACGTCTGCCATCCACAGCAATCAAACACAAGTTCCTAAACTGCATAAATGATCGGTGCAAACTAACAAACCAACAAGGGCCGAGAGAGGAAATTTGATCTATAAAAAACATTAACCCATATATATCCATCATATATCATATCTACTCACATTGAAGAGTTGATGATAAACAAACTGTGAATCATTGTGATATTTACATATATTAAAACTATAATAATATATTTCTCCTTTGCTTAACTAACTTTGATGGTTATAAAACTATTTTCATGTAAGTTCATTTCGTAAGTATTTATTAATTTCATTTATATTATTGCTAGACAATATAAATAACGATGATAAAACTATTTTCATGTGAGTTCATTTCGTAAGTATTTATTAATTTCATTTATATTATTGCTAGACAATATAAATAACGATGTTTCCATTTAAAAAAATAACATTCATCTTACTACTCCCCAGTCCACTAGACTTGCCGACTTTATCTGACTAATCTTCACTTGATGATCATAAAGATTTTTGTCTTCATCGTCAAAGAAAACAATTCAATAAAATGTAAAAGAATCTCAAACAGTTATAAATGAAATATGATGACGGATAAAATACCATGTAATACGTACATACTAGGAGAGGGGCTTTGCTTTTAGCCGATTTTATTTTATTTTAAAAAAGTAGTTAGAAATAGAGATGCATGAGGGACCGTGATTTTCTTGTCATGGATTCTTATCAATTTTGCTTTTCATCGACTAAAAAAAAACAACTAAAAACTCTCGAGGAAAATATCAAACTCAAACTCTAACATTTTACATGATCATATATCAAACTCAGATGTAACGTAAGGCAGCTAGTTCAATGAATGAGTTCTGCCTAAATACCTCAGTTAAGTCATGCAGTTATTGATCCACAGACCTCAGTGATGTAATAATCATGTATAATTATTGTGTAACATGTGAAAAGCCAGGAATCAAAGTGTTTCTGTAATGGCCGAGAGTTGAAATTAAGTTGAACATAAATTTTCAAGAAGCAATTAGAATGAGAAGATTTATCAACCTTTCTGTTGTTTTCATGTACGACACTAACCAGTGTAGTGCCCTTCTGCAAGATTTGATTTGTTGAATAACTTGCATACGTTAAATAACATAGTATTTACTGTCGGAAAAACTAAATCATATTGCTAACGAAAAGTTAATAAAAACAAACAGGAAAAATGTTATTCTGTATAGTTCATGTATCGTTACAACATGTTTCCTGACCAATGATTAAACAAAAAACCAAAAATCATACAAGGTTTATTTATAATTATTAAATAGACAAACAAAATGAATTAAAAATAATTTAAACGCTAAATGTACTTAGCATTAAAATTCTTCACGAACAAAAATGGACGACTGTTTTTAATATTCTCGTTTCTCTTAGAGCAAAAAAACAGGATGTCAGATATGTAAGGTTTTCATTTATGTTATATGGTTAGTTCTTTACTAAGTAAAAGTTTCATATATTCATAATTATTGGATTATTACATCATCAATAAGGAGTTAGTACCTCGTAAATGTTTTTAAAATAACTGTTACTACACGACAGCCATTTAGGACTGCATAAGGACTGAGGAAACATGATTGATCTTGTTTATATAAATGACTAAACTTTTACAATGGCACTCAATCTAGACTTTGAGATTGTTAATTTTTAGAGAATTAAAAAGACAATGTAAAAGTTAGTTCCAATAAAAATAACAATGACTGATGTCATGGGAAGTTTTTCAAGGGAAATGTTGTCGTGGAAGAAGAATGCTGAAGATACTTCAAGCAGAAAAACATACCGAGGAAAAGCGATCCATTGATTCGGTTGAAAGAAAATGCCTGTCAATAACCCCTTCTTGAAAAAATTGCAAGGAAATATCTCTGTGTGCCAGCGACTTCAGTTCCCTAAAGAGACTCTTCTCTTAAGCGGGAGAACTGGTAAGCGAAAAAAGAAGTAGAATAAAGGCAAAGAACGTTGACATGATGCTTTTTTTAAACAAGAATATGTAACTTTCAAAAATACATCGTTACTGTTAACATGTTCCAAAGTGCAAAAATATTTATTTATCTTTCAGAACAGCATGTAACCAATTTTTTAAATTCGAATTTATACAGCTTCTGAAAACTTATCGTCACTCCTAATAATGTTATGACAGTTTGTAATTTAAGACAAAAAAAATAAAATTTCGTTGTATTGTTGAAATATAAGGCCACACTTTACCAATCCATTATCAGATCTTTATCATGTGGCTCAGACTTTTGTTTTCGAAATTGGAGAAAGTAATTGCTTTAGTAATCGATACCTCGATACTTTTAAGAAAAAGTAATCGGTATCGTATCGAATCGATACTAGCGGTATCGCCCATCACTGCAATTCATACAAAAATGACGTTGCAACTTTAATGCAATTAAAACAAAAATGACGTTGCAACTTGAATACAATTCTTATAAAAATATGGAGGGTGATCTCCGGCAAAATTAAAAGCTATATTTTCCAATTACTAATGCGCATTTTGCCCTTTGCAATGTGCATTTTGTCTTGATCATATTCCATTCTGGAATTTCATAATCGGATTTTGTCCTGTTCAATTTTTGTTAAAACGCTCAGTTCAACCTGCTTAGTTCAAGCTACTTATCAGTTCAACCACTCTTGCCTCCTCTTGCGCTGTTTTTATATCTTGAACTGCACTAAAAAACACTAGCATTGCATTACCATTCTTTCCAATAGGACGATGTGGAGTTGTCTTATCTTCAGGAAAGAAATATTCAAAAAGCTTCCGCCTACCACAAACAAAATACTTCATTACAACAAACAACTCATCAGAAAGGTCAGTTCATTCTGGCTTCAGATGCATTAACCATGCAACATCCCAATGTGACCATCCTTTACGCTTTTGATATTTGGCGATATCTATGGCAAGTTTCTTTGGCTCCTTTTCTTTGCAATTAAAATCATACACAGCTAAAAGTCGCTAGCTAAATGGTTATTCGAAACCAAATTTATAGATTTTTTTTGTGAAGTCAATTGTATATTTCAATTATTTTTGCTCCATTTTCACGATGTCGTAGATTGCACATCGTGTTTGCCAAATCAATAATTAGTTTCGACATCAGTGACTATATGACTTGTCTACTTTCATTGTTAAAATTTCATAATTGTGGCTACCGTATGAATTGCCGCTTTGGACGGAATGGGGAGCAGGAAGTGACGTTTAAAAGGGTGTTGTTGTTTAATAAGAGTAAAAAACAAATTGTTGCAGTTGAAACTTGTACGTGGTACCAAACGGTCCTTAACGTAACTTGAAGACAGTAAATTAAAGACAGTAATTTGAAGATAGTAATTTGAAAGTAGGAAATTGTAATTTGGTTTGTTTCATTAAATTGTTTATTCCCAAGTTGTATGACGACTTGATAGTAACAGTTAAGGACCTAAACACCACGATTGTTAATTGGTAAACAATATATTCGCGCGTCAGGGACGGTGTATTTCATCTATATTCGCTTGTCAGGGACGGTGAATCTCATCTATATTCGTGTATCTCAACTATATTCTCGCGTCAGGGACGGTGACTCTCATCTATATTCGTGTATCTCAACTATATTCTCGCGTCAGGGACGGTGACTCTCATCTATATTCGTGTATCTCAACTATATTCTCGCGTCAGGGACGGTGACTCTCATCTATATTCGTGTATCTCAACTATATTCTCGCGTCAGGGACGGTGACTCTCATCTATATTCGTGTATCTCAACTATATTCTCGCGTCAGGGACGGCGTTTTTCATTTATGTTCGCTCGTTACAGACGACGTATTTAATTGCTCGAAGGAAATGGCTATCTGAATATACTTGCTTATTCGGGACGGGATATCGCAACAAAACTTTTGGGATTATTACATGGAATGATTGACAGTTGCTAGGGCAGTTTGCGAAGTCATTTCTATTTTGGGAGTTCGATTATGTCAGTAAAATCTTGGCCGATAGTGTTGCAAGATGAGCGGATTGTCCAACCGGAAACAAGATCTGAGAGTGGCTTCATACACGTAGGTTTTACAGTGTTCAACAAGGAACTAAATACTCCAACATCGGCATCAAATATAAGAAAGACCGGAAACGAAACAATCAACGTTTTGTTTAAGACTCGTATCGGGTTAATAAACACTTTAATAACCAATCAGGGATGGTTACAAGAAGGCATTCATGCTGGTGCAACATTGGACGAAATCAAGAGACGCAAAAAACAATATGATGATAATTGGAAGGCGTTCGTTGACATTCACGAACAATACCTTGAATTAGTCGTCCAGGATGAAGAAAGAGAAATAGCAAATCGTAGCTACAAAGAACAGATGGCAAAAAAGGTGCATCTGGACGAAATAGTCAGATCTTGGCAAAGGAATGCCAAATTAGAAGCAAAGCAACAAGGAGAAGAGGTTAGTTCTCCTTCATTACTAACAAGTAGAAGCTCAACAAGTAAGTCAAGGAGCCATAGTTCCAAGTCTTCAACAGTGTCCAGAAGGAAAGAAAAGTTAGCCCTTGCACAGCTGAAGAGAGATCAGTTAGCGAAACAACATGAACTTGAAAGGAAAATGGCAGAATTAAGATTTGAAAAGGAGGCTATGGAAGCCAAAATGAAAGAAGAGCGAGCGTTGGTGAGCCTTAACGCTTGCCGCGAAAAAGTAGAGATCGAACTCGAAGAAGACCACGGTAAGACCACAGCGGTAACGGTATCAAAACTAACAAAAAACCTGTCACCGTTTGCAAAGGCGTATGTTCCGCAAAGTTCGATACTGCAAACAAAAGTCATGCCCTCCCAGCCAAGGAATGTAGGGGACTTGGAGAAAATCATTGAAGTGGATCAATCCGAACCACAAATAAAACAGTCGGAGGTACCAACGCAGAAAACTCAAACTAACTCAGATCAGACTGTAAGATCGTCGGAAGGCGA